CGAAGGGATTTGACGTGATCGCCGGCAACGACGAGAAGGGCGTGTGCGCGGCGTGTGTCGAAGGAAAAATGGCTCGCAAACCATTTGGTAGCCGTACCTAACCCCTCGCAAAGGACCCGCTTGCGCTTGTTCACATGGACGTGTGTGGACCGATGCGGCATGCATCAAAGGGAGGAGCGCGGTTCCTCTTAGTGATGCTCGACGACGCGACGCGGATGAGTTGGACCCGACTCTTGAAGGCTAAGGGAGATGCGGCCAAGGCGATTCAAGAGTGGGCGCTCGACGTTTGCGACGACGGCAAGAAGCGGATCAAGTGCATTCGCACCGACGGTGGCGGCGAATTCGTGAGCAACGAGCTTGAAAAATGGATGAAAAGCAAGGGCATTAAGCACGACGTCACGACACCCTACACACCCCAACAAAATGGAGCGGTAGAGCGGCTCAATCGCACATTGATGGAGGCCGTTCGTTCACTTCTTCAACACTCCAAGCTTGGGAACGAGTGGTGGGGAGAGGCGAGTGCGCTAGCGGCATGGATTCGTAATCGTGTGCCAACAAAGGTGCTACCGGGAACGACTCCGTTCGAAGCATGGACCGGAACGAAGCCGAACCTATACCGCCTACGCACCTTTGGGTGCCTTTGCTACTACCATGTACCGGATCCACTTCGCCACAAGTTGCAACCGAAAGCTCGTGCGGCGATCTACTTGGGGATTGCGGCGAACGAGCGTGCATGGCGAGTGTGGGATTTGGATGAAAAACGCGTCGTCACGTCTCGGGATGTGATCTTCGACGAAGACAAGTTCCCGACAAAGGAGAAACAAACGCCGCAACTCACCGTCGTCCTTCCCGCACGAGAGGAGGATGAAGCGGTGGAGGTTTCACCGCACGTGAAGAAGGGAGCCGAAAGTGGAGGGGGAGAGAACGAGGAGTGCGATGATGATGTCAAGGAGGTACCACCAACCGAGGAGGCCACTTCCTCCGCACCTTCTTCCCTACCATTGGCGTTGACTCGCGGGCGTCGTACACCTCGCCCCAACACGAGGTTAACCGACTATGCTACGGTCGCCGTTGGGGAGTCGGATGAGGAGAGTGCGGCGATTTGCCTAGCGACCATCGGCGACGATAACCCACGCACTCACAAGGAGGCTTTGGCTTCCCCGGATGCACCGCTATGGAAGCAAGCGATGGAGAGGGAGTTAGCATCGATCAAGGAGAACGATGTTTTCGAGCTCGTCGACCCGCCGAAGGGTGCCTACTTGGTGGGATGCAAGTGGGTGCTTAGGAAGAAATTGGGAGCCGATGGAGGTGTCGAACGCTACAAGGCGCGGCTTGTGGCGCAAGGGTACACTCAACGGGAGGGGGAGCACTATAGTGAGACCTTCGCTCCCGTTTCGAAGGCCTCCACTCTTCGGGTGTTGCTCGCGCTAGCGGCATCTCTCAACCTCGAGGTGGAACAATTGGACGTTTGCACCGCCTTCCTCTACGGGCTTCTCATGGAAGAAGTCTACATGCGGCAACCCCCGGGGTACGATGACGGTAGCGGTCGGGTGTGGAAGCTCAAGCGTACCCTCTATGGCTTGAAGCAAAGCCCACGCGGATGCTACAAGCGCATCGACGACTTTCTTCTTCAACACGGCTTCGCGCGTAGCGTGTGTGATAGCGCTTTGTACGTGTTGAAGGAGGGGGAGAAGCAATTGGTGCTTTTGCTCTACGTCGATGACCTCCTTCTTTTCTCCGACTCCAAAGACCTCATTCGAGAGGTCAAGCAACGGCTAGGGGCAGAGTTTGCCATGAGGGACTTGGGACCGGTGACGTACTACCTCGGGATGCACGTCGACCGCGACCGCGCGAACGGGACCATTCACCTCCACCAAGAAAAATATGTGAAAGGGGTTGTGGAGCGCTTCGGCATGGGTAATAGCAACCCGGTGGGGACGCCACTAGACACGGGATTTTCTTGCCTCCCGGGAGAGGAAGAATCCGCCCTCGACGAAGCCGAAGGGAAGCGGTTTCATTCGCTAGTCGGCTCACTCATGTATTCCGCCGTTTCCACCCGTCCCGACCTCTCATACGCCGCCGGGGTACTTGGACGAGCCGTAAGCAACCCTCATACCGAGCATGTGCGTGCGGGAGGACGTGTTCTACGCTACCTCCAAGGCACACCCAACTTGGGAATCGTATATGAAGCCGGTCCAATCGTGCTTAAGGGCTACACCGACTCGGATTATGCCGGTGATCAAAGCAAGCGCAAGAGTACCGGCGGGTACGTCTTCACCTTGCTTGGGGGAGCCGTGAGTTGGCAAAGCAAGTTGCAACCAACCGTGGCTCTAAGCACAACGGAAGCGGAGTATATGGCACTCACTCAAGGAGCCATGGAGGCAATATGGCTACGGCGCCTTCTAGCGGAGCTTGGGCATCCTCAAGCCGACCCAACTACTCTCTTTTGTGACAACCAAGCGGCCATAAACCTCACTCACAATGCCGTCCTTCACGGGCGTACCAAGCACATTGAGGTGAAGCATCACTTCATTCGTGAGGTGGTCGAGAGAGGTGAGGTCAAGGTCACATACATAAGCACCAAGGCGCAACCCGCGGATTTCCTCACTAAACCACTCCCTAAGGATTCATTCCGTGCATGCCGTGAGCGTGTTGGTATGAACACCTAGTGGCTTGGGTGCAAGGGGGAGTGTTGGAAGGAAACGGTGGTGGGGCGGTGGTATGCCCCCAACCCACCGAGGGCACTTCGGTGCCTTCGATCCCTTTGACTAGGGATCGGTGGAATGGCACCGATTGACTTCGGGAGACTCACCCTTCGGTGCCACGTGGCGGCACCACATTCCAACCTTCAAGTGCAAGGCGAATTCGGTGTGTTCGGTGTGAAATTCGGTGGTCGAATTTCACCCCAACCGAAATGCTACACGCGGCGCATTCGCGACGCGAGTGTAGCGATGTGATGTTACATGTGCGGTTCGATGTAATGCATTTGCTATAAATCGACCTGCCTTGTATGCATGCTTTATACTGAAATCCTGAATCTTTTTGTACATGGTCCATTCGAACCAAAATTCCAGAGAGGTCTATCCTTGCTTCTAAGAGCACTAGCAATCACGTGAACGCCAATATCTCGGCGTATACTTGGGCGATTAACGTGTTTGACGGCTTGTTGGAAAGCCAAGACTGTGCTCTATCGTTTAGTGCAACTTAGCGTTCCTGCAAAGTAGAGGAGACGCCTCTACAACACTTGTTCAACCTGATTCTCTCTCCATATCATATCGATGGTGTTTGCGTCTCCGACATTGTCGATGCTTGTTTGATGGATCCTGGTAGCTGGTGGTGACTCACTCAGCCTACCCTACCGCACCTACCTCCAATACACTTCACTCGGTCCTCCGTCCTCAGTCGTCCAGTTTGCCGTTCAGTTATTTCTCGACGCATCCTCGGGAATGGTCTGTGAGCCACTGTCTGCAATCTAAAACTGCCCGAATTGCGGACGAAACTCACTCGAGAGCGAGGAAAAAAACTGCGAACTGCTGATTTATGCTTTCATTGATACCACAAGAGCAGATTCTCCAGCGGCGAAGCCTCCATTCATAAACAGCCCGTTCCCAGTCCCCAAAATGGTGCTCTGGATGTCGTCTGGGTCACAGCACACAGCAGCGGTGGCGCCATGCTCAGTGCAGCAGCTAGATTTATGGCAGCCCGCCGAATACGGAACCTCGAGCACGGAAGACCATATTTCCGACGAGGAGGTCGTGGAAATGGCGTCGCTGCTTCTCCAGTGCGAATCCGATTTCATAGGATCTCTTAACGGGCCTCGCACTAACAAGGACATTAAATTCGAGTCTACCGAACCACCACCTCTTCCATCCCAAACATTCACGGGGAGCCCGCATCGCGGAAACAAGCGGCAGCGAGAGGAGTCGGCGTCAACTGGACGGGCTCTGCTCGAGGATCAGAATCGGCGAATTCTTATTCAGCCGTGCAACGTGAAGATAGAGGACCTACTAGGCCCGGAGAGCAGCTCGCTCGAAAGCCTTCAGGAGACGATTGAGTTTCAGATGGACGTTGCAGCGTTTAACGATGAGACTGCTGTTGGGGCTGCGGAGCCTGCGGCGAGGGCGAAGAGCGAGGGTGAGGTGGATACACGCGACGGCGAGGTTGACGAGGGCTGTAACGGGTACATTCCTACGGCTGCTGCTGACAGGTGTGACCCGCAGTTGTCGCCGCCGTCGCCGGTGTCATCGCCGTCGTCGTCGCCATCGTCGTCGTCCCGCCTGCTGGTCCTGCCCCAGCTGACCCCCCAGCCAGCACTGCTCCACATACCGCAGCTCGCGTGTTCCGCCACGTGGCAAAGCGCCAGAAGTACCGGTGCATTCATCGAGCCCGATTTGAAACGGTTCAAAGGTCAAGCTGGTGATTTCTACCCTCGTCACATCCAGGCGTGCTGCGCACCGAACTCTGCGCCGAACTCTGCGCCGAAATGTACGCCAAACTATTCGCCGAGCTGCTGGCAGGAATGCGCGGCGAGCACTCCAGGCTTCCAGCAAATCTGCGCGCCGAGCAGCGGCCAGGCATCCGCGATGCGCGTCGAGACGAGCTGCGGGCAGCACCCGATGCCGGCGCCTAAAACGAGAGATTTGGCGGAGACGGAGTTCCTCACGGTTGAGCTTATATCGGAGCATCGCGGCGCGATGACGATGGAGCCTGGTGAAGTGTACCATACTTATCCCGAGGAAGCTTCGTCGAATGCTGCTGGCGGCGGCTGGAGCTCGGGATTGAATTTCGCTGGCCGCCAGCAGCAGCTGCCGCAGTTAGCGCCGCGGCGTGAGGCGGCGCCAGACGATGTCAGCAATCTGTACGGCCGGACTACTGGCTGCGATGAGCCGGCGCCGCCACTGCCGCCGCCGCCGTCGCGACGCTGCTTGACGAAGCCGCGGCGATCGTCTGCGTCGTCGGCGTCTCACGCGGCCACTCGTGGCGCAGCTAGAAGGGCGGACATGGCGGCCACTCGCGGCGCCGCAATCCGAGGGTCGACGGCGTCCGCTGACTGCGCCGCTGTACCGCGCGCGACCTACGCGGCTCTAAGATTCGGCGAGCCGGGCTACCCGGCGGAATACCGCGGCTCGTTTCGCGACAATGTGACGGCGCTCGCTGCTGACGTCATGCAACGCGAACCCGAGGGGTACGAACTTACCTGCTATTTTGGTAGCGGCCTCGCAGCCTTGTACGAACAGGAGCTATTTCGCTGCTTTTTTTGTTTTTTTGCCGTTTTGTCTCTGTTTTCCTCCCTAGAGCCTTCCGCCTCGCGTTCCGCTCCGCCTTCCGCTTCTCGTCCTGATGTCAAAATGTCTTTCCCACTCTCTCCTTTCCCCTTTCGCCCTCCTCCCTACTTGGCGCGCGTGTGACAGTGTCGAGGGCCATCCGACGTGGAGCCTACTTCTTACCGTCACTCGCGCCGAAGCGTATTCTCAGCCTCCGTTTACGCCTTTCGACGCGCTTTCGCACCCAGCTCCTTCGGCGGTTTCCGCGGATCCGCTTTCTCCCTCCGCGCGCAGCCCGCCGCCTCCCCCCACCCCGCGCGGTCAAGCCCGCGAGAATGTTAGCTCCGCGCCAGAACCCAGCGCGGGGAACTCCGCAGCGGGTGCGCTGTGCGCCACTGCGGCTCCCGCGGAGCATTCAGCGCTTCTGGGGGCGGCGCAGCAGCAGGCGCAGCTTCAGGGGGCGGCGCATCCGGCGCAGCAGGTGCTGCTGCCGCTGCTGCTCGTGGCGGAAGCGACTGAAGGGTCCGCCAATCCGCACTGCGACTACTGCCGCAGCTCGGGTAAGGAACCGCACGTGGGTGAAAGGGCAGGGAGAGCGGGGACGGGGGGCGGGAGATGCTGTGGAGAAGGTGTTAAAGGGGGATGGGAGGATGGGGGAAACTGGGTTGGCGGAAGTTGGAGGCTCAGCTCAAGGGTGTTGAGGGGAGCAGGAGCTGTGCTTGAGTCATGTTAACATGCCCAGCTGTGTTAACATGCCCAGCTGTGTTAACATGCCCAGCTGTGTTAACATGCCCAGCTGTGTTAACATGCCCAGCTGTGTTAACTGTCCAGCATTCCCAGCCTTCCGCCACATGCCCTTCTCTTATCACCCACCACCTCCCTGTAAAATGCTCTCACTCTCCCCCCCAATCCTCCTCCCCCCACAATGCTTGCGCCACTTGCAGGTTGGTGCCACCACCCCATCGCTGCGCACAAGTACCATTTCATCATTCCAGCCAAGAACCCACACTCGCACCCACGCGCCGAGGTAACCACTCACTCGCCCCTTGTTTACTCTACCCGCTGCTTCAGCCGCTTTGGAAGAACCCGCAACCATTAGCTGCCCATCTCTCGAATTCCTCTCCCCTTTTTCCGTTCCTCCCCTCTGGCTCATCTCCCGTCCCTTCAGTCACAGGTGCTCGCAACCACAGCCAGTAACATGAGTCCACGTGGCACGCGCAGCACCACCAGCACCAGCAACCACCACCCCTCGTCCCACCACAACCAGCACCAGCACCACCACACGAGCATCACGGCTGCTGCTTGCCGCTCGCAGTCGCTCGCCGCCCCCACGCACCTCCTGCACGGGGTTTTCCACTCCAACGGCTTTGGCCACCTCGTGACGCTCAATGGCCGGGCGGCAGGCTCGCACGTGCTGTCCGGGCGGCAGCTGATGCAGCTGTGGGACAACATCTGCACCATGCTGCGCGCCAGGTAAGACATGTTTGAGAGCTTGTAGGATGTATGCATGCATGTGTTTGGAGTCGACTCTAAAGTGACCTCGGCATGCTCCCCCTCAGAGCACTCTTGAGTGCCCCTCTTTCACATCAACGAGCAACATTACTTGGTAATGTCAGTCAACTGACACGCACATCATTCCTCACTCTCATCTCCTGTTTTCCCCTGTTTCTCACAGGGAGGTGAGCGTAGAGGACCTATCGCACAAGCTCTCCTTCTCCTCAGACTATCGCCTCCTCCACACTCTCGCCTTCTCGCACTCCTGGTTCGCCCGCTGGGGCTACTCCTTTGCTCACGGCGCCTTTGGCATCACGCAGCACCGCTACAGCCAGGCTGTAGAGCGTGTGGCCGGCACACGCCTGCTGCCGCTGCTGCAGCAGCTGCGGGGCATCAACACGGGGATTGCCTCCCGCGTAGCAGCAGTGGTTGCCAAGTATCAGTCGCATGTGGTTGGGAACAAGTGCGAGTCTGAGGACCAGTCTGAGGGTGAAAACCACAGGGCCAGTCTGTGCCCACACGTCTTGGATGCTTCACACGAGGCTCACCATGACCATCCCCACCTACATGCCGCTCATGTTCCTCATGGCCCGCACGGCCCGCATACTGCCCCACCCAACCTCACCTTGCAGCACCTCTTCTCATCCCTCCTCGCCCTGCGCTCCTCCCTCCCCCTCCCCCTGCACCACCAGCACCACCACTTCCCCCACCTCCTCCAACCCTCCTCTCTCCCCCTCCCCTTCACTCTCAGTACCCCTGCTCCTCCCACTGCTCCCTCTACTCCTGCTGCAGCAGCAGCGCCGCTAGCTGCTGTCCCCTCCCGCTCTCCCCTTCTCTCCTTCTCCGCTCGTCGCCTCCTCGCCCCCCCGCCGCCCCTCACCCTCCCGCCGCTCTTCCCGCCGCTGCAGCCAATGACGACGCGCCAGCTGTCCGGGGAGCCCAGCCCTACCTCCGCGTCCTGCTTGTCCGACGAGCTGTCGCCACGTCAGCAGCAGCAGCGCCTGCTGCGTCAGCAGCAGCAGCAGGCTCTGCCGTCCCCGGTTCCACCAATCAGCTACCAACAAATGGACGTCCCTCCATCTCCCAACGTTCCCACCCCCTCTGCAATCACGCCCGATACAATCACTCCCAATACTGCCACTCCCAGGAGCAAGCGAACCCTCTTGTTTCTTGACAGCCCTATCAGCAGCGCTTTAGCAGCAGCACCACCAACACCAGCAGCAGCAGCACCAGCATCGGCAGCAGCAGCAGCAGCAGCAGGGGACTATCCCAGGCGCCTTCTCTGCAACGAGCCAATCATAATCAGCCCGCTGCCCGCCGACTCGCCCTCGTGCCGCTGGTCCTCCAAGCGCCTCCACCTGGCGCAGCAGGTCATAGTCGACGTGCTCTCCCTCCGCCCCGGCGCCTGGCTGCCTCGGCACGAGGTTCGGGAGGCGGCTCGGCAGAGGATCGGCGACACGGGGTTGTTGGATTTTGTGCTGAAGTCGCTGGGGAATAGGTTGGTGGGGGATGTGGTGGTGCGGAGAGCGATTAATCCGCTTAGCAAAGTGCTGGAGTTTAGCTTAGAGCCGCTGCAGCGGGAGGGCGGGGAGAGAGGTGGGGGAGGGAGAGGAGAGGGGAGGGAGGGGGCGGAGAGGGAGGGGGTGGTTGGGGAGGAGAAGAGAGGAGGGTTGGAGGTGCAGCAGGGAGAGGTGCCGATGGGGGCAGTATCGCCTCTTACTCTGGGCGGAGGTGTAGAGTCAGGAGGGGAACAAAGGCGGTCGTTTGAGCCTGTTTTCAGGAGCTCTTGCTTGGGCAGCAACCGTCATAGCAACGACATGGTTGCAGGGACAGCAGCAGAGGCAGGGGCAAGGGCAGGAGCAGCAACAGCAGCCTTGGCAGCAGCAGGGGCAGCAGGGGCAGTGGCGGCGGCATTGAGTCCTGCTGTTCTGACTTCAGCGCCCTTCACCAGGGCGGACGTGACTCGAGACGTGGAGTTCCTGTACAAGCACCTGCTCTTTACTGTCACATCCGCTCACGGCCACTGCCACCCGCATCAGAGGATGCACCAGCAGCAGCGTCAGCAGCAGCACCGCCAGCAGCAGCAGCACCACCAGCAGGAGCAGGAGGAGCAACGGGAGACCAAGGCAGATATAACCTCTTCAGAATTCTCACTCTCTGCTTTCTCTGAAGCCGTGCAAACCATACTCGATACAAAGCAGTTCTTTAAGGACTACAAGGGCGAGCTCACCAGGGAGCAAGCAGCACGAGCTGCGGCTGTGGCAGCAGGTGGAGAGGGGGGAGAGGAAAGGGATGGCGTTGCTACAGAGAGTGAAGAGGAGGATGGGACGATTCGAGTGCTCTGCAGGTAGTTTGCTGTGCAGCTCTTATCTGGTGCAGGTGCTTTTTTTTTCGGGAGGTACTTTGTTGTATAAAGGTTCTACCGTCTGTCATGCTGGTACATCTCCCCTCAAACTCCCCTCAAACTCCCCTCAAACTCCCCTCAAACGCAACTCCCATAGTCTGATTTGCCACTCATCTCCCTCCGTTTCTCCCCTCCCCTTCCCGCCCACCAGCATCGATGCACGGGACGCAGACACCGATCGCAACTGGCTCATACCGCTGCCCGAGCTCATAACCCTGCCGCCCGAAGCAACCGTCGCTGATCTCAAGGCTGCAGCCTGCCGAGCCTTCGCCCAGACCTACCCTGTGGCTCGGCACATGCAGGTACGGCACCAGACCAGGCCTGACCTGTGGGTGGGTAGTCGCATGCAAGTGTGCTGAATCCCGTGTATGCCATGCGCTGCTGTGCTCCTTGTTTATCCGATACGGCTTTACTCCTACCGCGCTTAGCATTGCCTTCCTCCGATGCTCTCTCTCTCACCTCTCTCTCTCTGTTCCCTCTCCTCCCTCTCCTCCCTCTCCTCCCTCTCCTCCCTCTCCTCCCTCTCCTCCCTGGTCGCAGGTCACAGCTCTGCCCGTGGAACTCTCAGACCTGGACGACGACGACGTGCTCTTTGGCTCGCTCGACTCGGGCGCCTCTCTGCTGCTCGCCGTTTCCGGCCTTGATGCGCACAGCGAGTGGCGCTACGAGGGCGGCAACGACACGTGGGCTGTGCGGTGCGTGTGCGGCGCACGGGACGACGACGGCGAGCGCATGATCGCATGCGACGAGTGCGGTGTGTGGCAACACACGCGCTGCGCTGGGATCGGCGATGCTGCGCCTGCTCCCATGAGCTTCCTGTGCTTGGGGTGCAGAGCGGTGGAGAGGGATCGTTGCCGGGAGGTTAAGGTGGATTGCGGCGAGAAGAAAGCAGCACGCAGAGTGGTGAAGAGTGAGCAGGTACGGTTGGAGGGAGTGAAGCAGGAAGAGCCGCTGCAGCAGCACAAGAGGCAGCAGCAGCAGCAGCAGCAGCAGCAGCAGCAGCAGCAGCAAAGGCTACGAGTGCAACCACCCATGGACTTTTACCAGAACCGGCAGCAGCTGCAGCAGCAGCACCAGCACCAGCACCAGCAACAGAGAAAGCCTGAGCATCAGGATAAGACAACTCCATGCAGCCCCAGCTACCCAGGTTCGGCAAGCAGGTTCGGCGGCCCGCACCTGTGCCTGCCCCCACTCCCTCTGCTGCGCAACCTAAGCCACGCTGGCAGCATTACCAAGCAAAGCCAGGGCGGTGGGGAGTTGCTGAGGGTTGCAGCGAGCAAGGGCGTTTCTAAAACTCCCATATCCCCTCGTTTCGAAACCCCAGAATCACCTGATTCCGAGACCTTGCTAAGCCACGGGGGTAGTGGCAGCAGGCAGAGGCAGGGCATTGGGGAGAAACGGCGAAGGGACAAGGAGAGGGATGGTGGGTGCAGCGAAGATTTTCTGGGGGCTTTAAGTGCTCTGAGGAGAGAGAGGAGGTTGGGGAGGGAGAAGAGGATGAGGAGGGCTGGTCAGGAGGGGGGAGTGAGTCGGGATGACTCGATTTGAGAGGGGGTGCGGGAGATGTGAGCAGGAGAGATGGCCAGACAGCAAGAGAGATGGCCAGACAGCAGGAGAGATGGCCAGACAGCAAGAGCGTGCAGCAGGGAGCAGCAGAAGAGAAGAGAGATGTGTGGAAGAGGGCAGGGGTGTAGATGGGAATAAAGAGGACTGGGCCCTGCGAGCCTGGTGCTCATGGCGAAGATGTGTATGTCAATGTCACGACAAGGCAACGCAGCATCAAGGCGATCCCAGGCGTTCCAGCGTGTCCCAGGGCAATCCCAAGGAGATCCCATGGCGATCCCAGTGCGTCCCAGCGGTCCATGCATCTGTTGTGCATGCTGCTCGGATCGGCTGAGGTCCGCTGTACAGTTGTCTGTTTCTTTCGCTTGTATTATATTACCTATCGCCTTTTTGTGAAGTGTCATGCGATACAGTGTAGATGCTTTGCTTGTACAAATGCATATTAATTAATATTACCCACTACTTCCATGGTATTGAAAGGAGTTGGTCTTTATCCATTCATACACTGTATTCAGCCAGGGCTACCAGTATCAGTACGCATTAGAAGAGGTATGGTACCGTAATGCATATAATTATTAGAAAACAGTACAGTCCATCTCAACACATAGAAAAACGGTATGTCATTATCGTACAAGTTCATTCAGAGTGCAAGACATAAACAGAGCTCCGTTTCAGTAGGGATAACAGAAATGAGCTACCTATATGCTGTCCTCGCTCCTGTCAGCCCTTCCCTTCCCATTTCATCCCCTCCTGTTAGTCCTACATCCACCTTTCTTTAGTCCTAGTGTGTCCATCCCTCCTTTCCTCCTTATCCCACCATCATCATAAAAGTCCCTCCCACCATCACCTTTTCTCTCTCTTCCGCCACACCATGACCTCACCTCCTCCCTCCACCATCCCACAATCTTCTCACCTCCTCCCTCCATCAATCAAACATCTCCTCGTCCTCGTTCGATCCGCCCACCTCCCCTCTCCCAAAAGTTTCTCCCTCCCATCATCCCACCATCTCCTCATCCTCATTCGACCCGCCCACCTCCCCTCTCCCAGACTCCGCCGTCCCACCCACCCCCTCATCCCCCATGGCCCCTCCATCGCTCCTCACACTCACCTCCCCCACACACACAGCCGCCGACGCAGCAGGAGGCACAGGCGTAAACCCTTCCTCCGACACATTCGGTCCAAACGCAGCAAACCCCCCTAAATTCGGGTCTAAATGACACGGCCCAGCTGCTTCCCCCGCACAGGCAGCAGCAGAGGCAGCAGGGGGGACAGGAGCGAGGGCGGGTAGAGGAGGATGGGGGGGGTGGGGAGGAGGAGGAGGGGAGAGGGGGTGGGGGAGGAGCGAGGGCCACTTGAGGATGGAGGCAAAGTAGGTTGGAGGGATGTAGCCATGGAAGCCAGAAGTGAGGATGACCCCGTTGTCTGACTCGAAGAATGGCATGCCGTCTGGGATAGAGGAGCGGGAAGGGTTTGGCGACGGTAGTGGCAGGGATGAGGAAGGAAGTAAGTGGAGGCGCGGTGAAAGAAAAGAGAGAAAAAAAAAACACACACACACAGACACACGAGGAGCTCATGCCATATGCCACGTGCAACCCACCTGCCATGGCGCGAGCGACGTCCACCACCACCAGCACCTCTGCGTTTGAACGGAAGCCTGCAGCAGAGAGGCGAGGGATGTGGGGTGTGTGGGACGAAGCAGGGAGAGGAGAAAGATGGCAGGTGAGGTGCTGAAACCTGGCCTAACAAGTGAGGTGGGCGCTGGGAATTGCTGAGGATGCTGATGATACCAGAGAAAAAAAGGAAACAAAAAATCAAGAGCGAGACATGTGAAAACCTCTCAAGTGTCTCAGAAGGTGGGAAGAGCGCAGCGTACCGCTGACGACGGAGTGGTGCTGCGAGGGCACCCCTTTGGTGAGGTGCACGTGCTGCCGGTTCATGCGACTCAGGCCCGACGACAGTATGGACGGCAGGTGGCGCTCATACGTTCCGTGTACACAGTCTAGTGGGCGCAGGGAGGGGTGGGAAGAGGGGGTGGGTGGGTGGAATTGGGGGGACATATGGGTGCACCATTCCAAAGAGTTTTGAGACGTCTCAAAACACTTTTATTATCACGGTGCACCATTCCAACGAGGCATGGCTGGCAGGTGGCGCTCGTACGTGCCATGCACACACTCTGGTGGGCGCAGCGCAGGGAGGGAGGTGGGGGAGAGAGAGGAGGGGGGGAAGCAAAGACAGGTGGCACTCGTGACACTTGTACGTGCCATGCATGCACAGCACACACTCTGATGAACCACGGGGAGAGAGGGGAGAAGGTTGCGTCATTCCAGGTGCAGCAGGTGGCGTTCGTGTGTGCCATGCACACCGGCTTACCTGGCAGGGCAGCAGGGTCAGTGATCCACCGCAGCAGCTGCTCCTCGTCCAGGTGCAGTGAATGTGGATAGTGAGTCAACCCAGACCATAGAATACCTGGAAGGGAGGCGGGGTCGGTGATCCGTCGCAGCAGCTGCTCCTCGTCCACGTGCAGCGAATGTGACTTTCAATACACGCACATCTTACCTGGCAGGGCAGCGGGGTCGGTGATTCTTCGCAGCAGCTGCTCCTCGTCCACGTGTAGCGAGTGGCCCTGGTTCGCCCGCACATACACCTCCCCACCCGGCCCTTCCCTCAGTGTAAACCGCTGCTTGTTGTCGCGCGCCACAGCCTGGGGGACGAAGCAGGGAGTTGAGAACATCATAAAAGTCAGGCGGGAAACTCGCATGGACAATAATTGCATCACAGCAGCAAATCATTGATCAGTCCCTGTAACAGGCGCAAGTCACGTGAAAGAAGTGAATTCTTTAGACGTTTCGATTAGTCAATCAGTCCCAGTCAATCAATCAGTCCCCGTACCAGGCGCACGTCCTCCAGCGTGTGGGAGGCGAGGGGGCGGTGGGCGTTGGTGTTGACGGGCAGCAGCAGGAGATCGGCCACTCGCACGAAGCCATCTGGCGCCACGTGCAACCCCAGCTGGCTCGCCTGGTGCCGCAGGATCTTGGTCCTGAGCACACGAGCACACGCAGGCACACACACAGAAAGAGAGACAGAGACAGACAGGATGGCACGGGGAAAGGAGGGGATGGAGTGCGGAGGAACGGAGTAAGGTGGATAGGGAGGGAGGGATGTGGGAGAGAGTGCGACGGGGAAGGAGTGAAGGGAGAAGGGGGTGAGTGAGGTGGGGAAGGAGTGAGGAGGGAGCGAGTGAGGTGGCTCCAAAAACAGGACATGCGATGCGACGCCCCAACAATACACCATCGGTTCCTGGCTTACATGCAGCGTCCCAAAGCGTCTATCTCACGATTTGACTTTTGAGTCGACTCAAAAGTCAAGACGTCCCAACAATACACCTTCGATTCCTGGCTTACATGCAACGTCCCAAAGCGTCTATCTCACGATCCTCCTGCCCCCTTCCCCCTGTCTGCGACCCCTGCGCCTGCCTGCTTCCCCCACCCCCTCGCCTCCCCCGCCCACTCCCCCCTCCGCGTCCCCCTCGCCCCGCCCCTGACGCAGCAGCACCCCCCATCTCCTCTTCATCCCTTCCACCAACTCCCCCCGCGCCTTCTCTTCCGCCCACGCCTCCCCCCGCGCTGCCCCCCCCGCTTTTAGCGCCCCCGCCTCCCCCGCTTCTAGCGCCTCCGCCTCCCCCGCTTCTGGCGCCGCTGCTACACGCGTTCATGCTGCCAATCGACACCTCGTCCGAATCTCCGAATCGCCCGCCCGGATCCGCCGCCATGTGCACCTCCGCCATCGCGGGCGCATGCGCGGATCGCCTCCCCCGCTGCCTCTTGTGCGCGCCCGCGCCCGCGCCTCCCCCCGCGTCATGCCCGCTGCCTAACGAAGACCCCTGGCTCTGCACGGACGCAGCAGGCGCGGGGATGCCCATGGCGGAAAACGCCCCCGCGCCCCGCTCCCCCGCTCCCCCTACGCCCTCTCCCGGCGCCCCCGCCCAGTACCCCGCGCGACTGCCGTCCCCCTCAGCAGCCCCCCATACTCCCGCTCCGCCAGGCCCTGCGCCGCCTTCCCCCACCGCGCCGACGCCGCTGAGCGCAACTCCACCCTGTCCGCCCGCGCTTCCGCGTCCGCGGCCACTGCGCGTCGAGCGCGTCTGCACTTGTCCCCGAAACTCGACTCCGCGGCCCCCCGCGCCCCAGCCCCCACCGCGCCGCCCGTCGACGACGGAGTTAGACTGCGAGACCTGCGCGCGCGCGACGGGCGGCGCGATCTGCGCAAAGCTCTCCTCGTGGCTGTCCACCGAGGCTTGATCGTCCGCCATCGCGACTGGCTGCCGCGGCGCCTGCTGCGCCTGCAACGGCAACTGCTGCTGGTGCTGCTGGTGGTGATGATGAGGATGATAAGTATGCTGGTGGTGATTGTGATGGTGGTCGTCTGCGTTGGACTGTCGGGCGCCTAAAGAAACTTGCTGCTGCTGCTGCTGTGGCGCCGGCTGCTGCAATTGATGCGCCTGCACCAGCTGCGGCTGCGGCTGCGACGGCGGCAGTAGCGGCGGCTGCGCTAAAACCGATTGCTGGTGCTGCAGAAACTGCTGCTGCTGCTGTTGCTGCTGCTCGTGCTGCTGCATGTGTTGCATTGTAACCGCCGCTGTTGGCGGCGCTGGCGCCGCCTGCTGCTCCTGCTGCTGCTCCTGCTGCTGATGATGGTGCTGCTTGTCCATCATTAGCTGCTGCTGTTGGTGGTGCCTGTGACCGTCCACCCAATGGGGATCGCCTCCCTCTTTCCCGGACTCCATATCTCTCGCTACAGGCACTTCAGACGACTCCGACGCCGCCGCGCCATCTACGAATTCGTGCGACGCGCTGGCGATGGGCGGCCAATCAGCAGCCGCGGCGCCTACCCCCGCGTGGTGCTGCACTCCCCACGCCCCGCCGCCTCCGCCTCCGCCACCGCCCGCTTCCCTAGCTGCGCCAGCGGCGCTTCCGCCGCCATCCCCGCCGTTTAAAGAGGAAGCGGCGGAAGCGACGCCGTGAGGCGGCAGCGTGAGGTTGTCCGCGACTTGCGCCGTGAGGCTCGCTTCGCCCACCACCGCCGTCATCCCGCCGGGCGCGGGCCGGCTGCCGCAAGACGACGCCGCCGCGATCTCCGCTAACGAACGGCGGTAATGCGCCGGGGTGCGGCTAGTAACGCTGTGTCCCTCGGCGGGAGCTGCGGCGGGAGACCCGCTGGGCCTAACAGGACGAACGTTGGAGCTACGACCGGCGGCAGATGGGGCAGCAGCAGCGGCTGATGCGAATCCTGGCCGTTGATCTAATCGCTGGCTTCGCCTGGGAGCCCAGACTCGCGGTTCTCCCGCGCCGGAAGAGGCGGAGGAAGCTCGATGCGCCATCGTTTGTGGCTCTCTCGTTTTTATATAAAAGCGACAGTTGATTCTTTGTCGTTCGCAATAACACAGGTTAACAAGGTCAAAAGCGGTTTCGCAGTGAGTTAATGGATTAAGGATATGGCAGGGGAGGGTGACAGATCGTCGCATGTCGAGCGCAGCCGTCTAATGCCAAAATACGAGAACCCTAAGAATAATAAATCAGGTACCGTGACGTGATAAGCACGCAAAGAGAAGCAAGCACGGCCTCAGGAATCCAGGAGACAAACAGCATTGAAGCACTAGATACTCCTAGCGTCGAGTCGGAGTTCCCAAGAAAAATAATATCCTTGCATGTCAGAGGTGGAATAATTCCAGCCGTTGCCCAACCACACGAGAATCATCCCAAGACGATCGCGATCTTGGGCTTGCGGGCAGGTAAAGGTCGTCTGAAAGCACTTTCGCTTTTCCGTCAACGTGAGGGGCAACAATGACGGCAAACCTGACGGGAATGGCAGGTTGGAAAAGGTCTGTATCGGGTCCAAAGAGCTTCTAGAATCGAACTGATACAGTTGCAGTAGATCCTAAAGCATTCAATGAAAACACACCCACATCATGACTTTCCAAAGTGGAGCCATAATATTGTTGCCTCGTTTACAGAGTTCAACTTATCATTATCCCCATATAAACTCTCATCATCTATTAATTTGACATTATTTTGGTCATCGTAACCATAATCTTCTATAATGTAATCATTTCATGGTATGTGTTACGAATGCAGTTGAGTGAACGAGCGAGAATTGCACTATCGAAGCAAAGGTACAATGAGCGAAGGCATGAGCAAATAATACATAGCGAAACTATAGTGGTAACGGTAATGTGTGGAAATTGGGGTGCGCGACGGGCCTAGCGCTGAGGTCGGGAAATGTCGAGGCGGTAGGTCTGGAGCGCGAGTTACCAATCGAACCGTGAGGTTGGGTCGTGTCGTGAACAGTGGCGATAACAGTGTCGAGGCAAATGTCGCGAGTTGTAACGGTTTTACTGTTGGAAGCTGTTGGCGGGAACAGTGGTGTACGCGCTGAGCAGGGACGCGAAGTAAGGAAAATGAGTTTTCCTAACACTACCCCCTCCCCTAAGGAGGCCCTCCTTACGAAAGCGCATGTACGTCCCGGAAATTTCGGCTGCGCATATACTCAGTGAGGACGGGGTGGTTCTCAATCCTATACAGGGGAACCCAGATGTCTTCAGTGGGCGTTCGGTCTTTCCAGCGGATCAGGAACTCGGTCCTTCGAGCTCCTCGTGGGTCACGAACTCGGTGGCTCAGAATTTTCTCGGGCGTGATGATTGGCTCTGTCGGCGGTCGAGTCATGCTGGCTGGGCGGTTGCGGGGCAGTTGGCCGGTGGATGGTACGTAGGGGCGGAGCAGGCTGACGTGGAATGACGGGCTGACGTACCAGTCAGCGGGGAGGAGGAGGTGGGCGGTGACGGACGCAATCATGTGGCTGGTGCGAAATGGCCCACAATATCGAGGGCGGAGTTTTGGGGTAATGGGTAGGCGGAGGTTCTGGGTGTCGAGTAAAGCTAGGTCATCGGGCTGGTAAGTGACAGGTCCGCGGTGGCGGCCGACGTTGCGTTTAGCGATGATGTTTGACTTTTTTATCGCGTCTGCTGTTCAGGTCCATGTTGCTTGTAAGATTTCGGCGAACTGTTGTGCTCGTGGCACTGGGTTGTCGAGATTCGGGGTCATGGGTACTGTCGGGTCTTGTTCGTAGTTCAGGTAAAACAGTGATTGTTGGGTCGTGGCGGATGGCGAGTAGTTGTATGCGAACTCGATGAGTGGCAGCTGCTGTTCCCAGGTGGTCGGGTCGTCGCACGTGACTCGGATGAGTTGCTCCATGGTCTGATTTGTCCTTTCTGTCTGTCCGTCGGTCTCGGGGTGGTACGAAGAACTAAACTGTAGTCGCGTGCCGATCTGCTACCATAGGTTCCGCCAGAAGTTGCTGGTGAATTTCGTGACACGATCGCTGATGATTGCCGCTGGTATCCCGTGTAGTCGAACGACGGTGGAGATGAAGAGGCAGGCTGTTTCTTCGGCTGTGATCGATTTCTTGCAAGCTGCGAAGTGTGCCATTTTCGTCAGCCGATCGACGACGACCAGGATCGCGTCGTTCCCACTCGCTCCGGCCGATAACCCCGTGACGAAGTCCATCGTCACCTGCTGCCAAGCACGCTCTGGGGGTGGTATCGGCTGCAAGTGTCCTGCCGGCCGCTTCCGTGATGATTTCATGAGCTGGCAAGTGGGACACGATGCCACGTGTCGCTGAACGTCAGTCAACATTTTGGGCCAGTAATAATACTGCTGCAGCTGCTGCCGTGTTTTCTCTACCCCGAAGTGTCCCGAGGTAACTCCGTCGTGTGCCTCTTGTAACAGTAATTCCCGTAGTAGTGAATACCCCGGTACCCAGATGCGGTCGGTGCCGGCTTTTACATAATAAACTCCTTTTGCTGCTGCGAACTGCTGCGAATTTCTTTCTGTGAAGAATGGATCCGTTTGGTACCCATGGGTGAATAGTCCTATCAGTAGTGGGCTGGTCTGGGCAAGTAGTATCGCGTGGATCTGGGCAGTGGGGCGGATCAGTGCGTCGGCGATGTTCGATGCCCCTTTTTTGTAGGTGACTGTGTAGTGAAGATTGGACTCGAGGAAATCGAGCCAGCGAATTTGTCGTGGGTTGAGGTGTGGTTGTACGCGGAGGTACTGTAGCGACTTATGGTATGTCCGTACTGTCACGTCTGTGCCGGTCAAGTAACAGCGCCACACTTTGAATGCGTGCACGATCGCGAGCATTTCGCGGTCGTGTATCGGGTAATTTTTCTCAGGCGGATTCAGTTTTTTTGCCTCGTATGCGATGGGCTGTACGCCGTTGCCGAAGTCCTGTAGCCGTACGGCTCCGATGGCGATGTCGCTGGCATCTGTAACTACTTCGAATGGGCGGTGTGGGTCGGCGATGCGCAGTACGGGTGGTGAACAGAGAACATTTTTCAGGGCAGAGAAGACAGCATGCTCTTTCTCCCCCCACGTAAAAGCGACCCCCTTCCGCAGTAAGTTCGTGAGTGGTGCCGTTAACCGTGCCATGTCGGGGACGAACTGACGCACATAATTCACGAACCCCAAAAAACTCTGCAGGTCCGTGATATTCGTCGGGGGGTGCCACGCTTTTACCATGTCCAGCTTCTTTGGGTCAATTTCGACCCCAGCCTTCGAAATAACGTGCCCCAAAAACTCTAGCCTGTCCTGAAAAAACTCGCACTTGGAACCCTTTGTAAGTAGCCGATGTTTGTCTAAAATTCGAAATACTGCTTCCAGATCTGCTATGTGCTGCTGCTTATCGCGACTGTAGATGAGGATGTCGTCGAGGTAAACTATCACGCATTTATCTATAAGTGGCATAAACGCCTCGTTCATGGTCATCTGAAAAGTCGCCGGCGCGTTGGTCACCCCGAATGGCATCACGGTGTACTCGAATGACCCGAACCTAGTTTTAAAAGCCGTCTTGGCGCAGTCCGATGGTTCGACTCGAATCTGATGGTAACCTCCTTGTAAATCTATTTTCGAAAAGACCCGTGCTGTTCGTAACTGATCTATTAGCTCGTCGGCGCGAAGGAATGGGGTATCGCGATTTGACTGTTACCCTGTTCAGTGCTCTGTAATCAATGCACATGCGAAACCCTCAGTCTTTTTTCGGTGTGAACAGTATCGGTGCGGCGAACGGTGATGAGCTCGGTCGGATGAAATTCTTCTCTAACAGGTAATATAACTGCTTCCTCACTTCGTCGAGCTCGGGTTGTGTCAGTCCGAACTGTCGCTAAACGGTTGGCTGCGCCCCCGGTTCTAACTCTATTCGGTGGTCGTGTGCTCGCTGAGGTGGCAGTCCCTCCGGTAAATCGTCGGGAATAATCCCCGGATACCGTTTCAACAGTTCCTGTAGTTCGGGCGGTACCGCTGCCAGCAGTTTCTTAAAATCACTCGGCTGCTCTACTTCCTCTACCACTGCAATGTCTACTGCGTACACGTCAGCTCCAGCGGTGACAACCTGTTTCATTGTGACGGCGTTGACGTGTACCGTTGAAGACTCAGGCGACTGCCAGCGAGGTAGTTCGACCCAGTTACCGCTACTTCGCACATTGCAGCTACCCGTCGTCCAGTCAATTCGCGGGTTATACCGTCGCAGCCAATTACGTCCCAGTAAAATGTCGTGCCCATCCAGTGTCGTCGCGAGCATTTCCTGTGTAAACCGAAATCCCCCCCGCGGCGGACTTTCACTCTCTCCACCTTCTCCCGTATGGCCAGCGGTGTGCTATCAACTAAGCGTGCATCTACCTCCGGTAAACACCGGCTAAGTCTTAGTTGCAGCTTTCGTGCGGTCACGGTATTAACTAAACTGTGACTTGCTCCTCCGTCGATAAAAATGTTCACTGCTGCTCCCTGTATATTCCCGTGGATCAGTACTGGGCAATCCGTCGCTGTACCCTCCTTATTCGTCCGAGCCCGATCGATGGCATGAATCGATACTGTGACTCGGTGAGGGTCGGTGGGGTTGGGCGAGCAGGCAGTCTCGTCAGTAGTTGGCCCGATTCCTACTGACTGCTGGCGTTTCCCTGCCTTGGAGACTCCCTCCCCTGCTCTGCTCCGCAGCGCCTCAGCTCCTCTGGGTACTCACTCTTGCGATGGCCTGGCCTATTGCGAGCAAAGCAGCGCCCCTTAAACGGCGCGGCAGCTGCATTTGTCACAACGGCGTGTACGGTGGCGTGCTCGATCGGTCTCCGAGGGCGATGTCTGCAATAGGACCCCGGTCTCGGACGGCGCAGAATCTCGATTTTCTCGGCGAGCGTGAGAATCTCGTTGAAATTCGAGAGTCCGCGTAGCATGATTTCGTGCGAGATGTTCGGCTTCAGCCCTTCGACGTAACGGTCTACCCGCTCCGCTTCGTGCATGTAGCCGACTTGCTCGCATAATGCGAGGAAACCGC